ACCGGTCAGATAGACGCACACTGTGCTATAAACTGTGAGCTGCTAAGAGAGGTCATCCTCTTTTTAGAGGCTGGCTGCAGTTAACTGCTTGCAGGCTGTGGTTTCCCTAACAAAGCTACAAGTTCACTGACTCATCGGCTGATTCGTTTCAGAATAAACGACCTATGGGTGTGAAAATGTTTGAGTGTTTAAAAAGCATTAGACTGCTGTCAGCTATCCAGTGACTTCTGAGCCTCTGACAATGAGAGACGCCTCGTGACACAGTTTAGTTAAACGCCTTAAATAACAGTTGAAACTGCACTTCAGTGACATGTTAACGTTTCATCTAAACTCCACTGTGGCGATGTACAAAAACCAAAAATGGTGTCGCTGTTCAAGAACTGTAGGAATAAATAATCCAGCATCTAAATCTTTTATTTCACAGCTCACAGGTGGAGGTGACGTATCTGAGGAGGAGGAGGAGAGGAAGGTTGGCAGAGGTCTGGACCACTGAGGGAACAGAAGCAGCAGGATGACTTCACTGAAAAAGGTGCTTAGAAATAATCACACTTTTCTGCAGCACTTCATGTAGAACATTAACAGAACAAAATATATAAAATGTACAAATATACAAACCGGTGTTAAAAAAAGTAAATATGTAAATAAATAGTGTTTTGTATACACAGTTCGGGTTATTGCACATATAATTTTGCACAGTGGTGATTGTAGAGGGAAATGGGAAAATGGGGACTGTGTTATCGGTGCATGTGTGAGTTGAGGGTGGTTATGGCCTTTGGGACGAAACTGTTCTTGAGTTTTTGTGCTGATGCACCTGTAGCGCTTTCCTGAGGGCAGCAGGTTGAACACGTAAAAACCAGGGTGGGAGCTGTCTTTGAGGATGTTTGCTGCTCTGCTGAGGCAGCGGGAGGAATAAATGTCCATCAGGAAGGGGAGAGGGCAGCCGGTGATCTTCTGTGCGGCCTTGACTACTCTCTGAAGCCTCGCTCTGTCCGCCTTAGTGCAGCTGCCGTACCGTACTGGGATGCAGTATGTTAGCAGGCTCTCACTGGACGAGCTGTAGAAGGTCATGCCCTGCCACACTTCCTGTGTGTTGTTGCTGGACAGGCGGGACTCTGTTTCTTTTGTGGTCTGTCTTGGCTTTTTTAATTCCCCTGTACAGAGCTCTGTCACCTGACCTGAAGGCGGTGTCACGGACTTTGAGGAGCGTGTGGACCTCGCTGGTCATCCAGGGCTTTTGGTTTGGGGAAAAGCCGAATGCTTTTGTCCACAGTCACATTCCCAATACAGAACTTGATCCAGTAATGACGTTTCTAGGTCCTAGGTACACGCCACCATCCAAAAATAACATTAAGTGAGGACGGCAAAGCTAGCTCTAAATCAGCTCACCTGAAAAATCAACCAATGCTGGACACACTTAGTTTAACAGTTCAGAGCGAGCTAAGAAAATAACACAAGCTACCATGTACTTTATCTGCAAAGACCTACGTGGAAAATGAGGGCCTTTCTTACATGCTGAAGAAGCTGGAACCCAGGTATGTGATACCATCACGATGTGTTTTCACGGCTGTACCCAATCTCTGCATGGACCTGAAGCTTAAAGTTGAGCAAAGTTTGAGCACAGCAGAAAGGGTCATATTAACTTGTGACGCATGGACCTCACAGGATTCATATGTGACTATAACAGCTCATCATCTCTAACAAGGCTACAAGTTCACGGACTCATCGGCTGATTCGCTCCAGAATAAACGACCTATGGGTGTGAAAATGTTTGAGTGTTTAAAATCACAGTGAACAGCTACAAGTACAAAGAGTTTTTACCTGCTTCCTGTATCACGACATACCAGGTGAACAGGCCTCGCCTCAGCATTAGCCTGCTGCAGCTATCCAGTGACTTCTGAGCCTCTGACAATGAGAGACGCCTCATGTCACAGTTTAGTTCAGGGGTCAGCAACCTTTAACACACAAAGAGCCATTTGGACCCGGTTTCCACGCAAAAGAAAACACTGGCAGCCGCAAATACTCTAAAATGAAGATAACACTGTATATATTGTTTTTTACCTTTATGCTTTGTGTGAACAACTAAGGT